AAAAGGGGCGAGTGAAGAGAAAGGGGCGAGCGAGGGGAAAAGGGGGCGAGTGAGGGGAAAAGGGGGCGAGTGAGGGGAAAAGGGGGCGAGTGAGGGGAAAAGGGGGCGAGTGAGGGGAAAAGGGGCGAGCGAGGGGAAAAGGGAGCGAGGTGGAAATGCGGTGAGAAGGGGGGAAGGGGGATGGATGAAGGGGAGTGATGGTGGGAAGGAGGAGAGTGAGGGGGATCTGGACGTGAGGGAGGAGAGGGATGGATGAGGGAAATGGGGATCAGTGAGGGGAAAAGGGGGGGAAGTGGTGGGAAAAAGTTTAAAAAGGGGAGTGGGGGAAAGGTGAATGGGGAAAGGGAGAGGGGAAGGGGTAAGTGATGGTGAAAGGGGGATGGAATGGGTCAGGGAGGAAAGAGGGAATTAGGGAAATTGAGCAGCTGAGGGAGAAAAGGGAGAGGAGGAAAAAGGGGATTAATGAGGGTAAAATGAAGGAGTGATGGTGGCAAGGAGGTGAGTGAGGAGGAAAAGGGAAGAATGAAGGGAGTAGGGATCAGTGAGGGGGAAAGGGAGGAAAAGGTTTAAAAGGTGCAAAAAGTAAATGGGGAAAAGGGGGAAGGAATGAGTGAGGGGGAGGAAAGGGAAAGAGGGAGAAAGGTGAGGAAGTGAAGGAAAAGGTTGAAGGAAAAGGGGAAAATGAGGGGAAGAGGGCTGAGTAGGGAAGGGGTATGAGATCTCCCTGTGTGTGTGAGATCCAGAAAAGTGCACAAAGTACAGCTTAGCTGGGATCTCCCAAAGCTTCAGTGAGTGTAACGTCTCTTCAGGACAGCTTTATCAGGCAACAATAAAACCAGCGCCATTCTTTGACATCCTCCTCCCAAATGTGCGTGTTGGACACACACACAGCCTCTGGCACCTCCTGATAAGAAGCGTTGGATGTTTGGCAGTCACCAAGGCCACGTGCTCTGAACAGAATCTCATTTTTGTACCGGTTGGCCTGAACACCACGTCCAGCACTGGCACTGCCCAAGGTCTGTCCTGGTGTCACCTGGGCTGGTGTTAATTTTGTCACTCTGCTGGAAATTTTCAGGTGCTCTGGGAAGGTTTGGTCTGTGCAGAAGATGGGATTTCCAAAAGCAGAGTTCCCTGTGCCAGGATGGGTTTGCCTCCACTTCTGCTCAGTCACCACCAGCACATTTCATACCTTTTATATATTTATTTATTTACTTGATTTCATGTGAAATAACCTGGTCAAGATTTGTCCCCACAAGCAGCAGGAGCCCAAGAGAAATAAGATATTATTTTTGTGAAGAAAAATGCACGACCTCATCCATCATGTAGGAAAAAATCTGTGTGCAGGTGACCCTTCTCCACAAATACCAGGAACATTCACCTCTTTGAATAATTCATTGGTTTTTTATTCATGGAGGGTAGGTCAGCAATTCTTCAAAGCTCAGGCCAATACAATTTATAAAGCATAACATTTTTATAATAGCTGCAGGTTCCTTTTGGGGGATACATATCTTTAAGGGGGAAAACCCCCTCCTGTCAGGGAGTTGTGCAGAGCCAGAAGGCCACCCCTGAGCCTCCTTTTCCCCAGGCTGAGCCCCTTTCTTCAGCTGCTCTCAAACACAAAAACATCACAGGGAGGGATCAGGGTTCCTTTTTCCCTAGGTAATCACAGGATTTTAGGAGAAGCTTGGTTTCCATCAATTCTTGGCTGTGAAGGTGAGGATGCCCTGGTTGCTCAGAGAAGCTGTGGCTGCCCCTGCATCCCTGGAAGTGTCCAAGGCCAGGCTGGACGGAGCTTGGAGCAACCTGGGATAGGGGAGGGTGTCCCTGCCCATGAACTTCAGAACAGATGAACCTTAACTCCTTCCAACCCAAAATCATTCTGGCATTCTATGGTTCTTAATGCTTCCCATCATAAGTCTGGACTCTTGGAGGACACCTGACTTCCAGGTTTCAATATTCAGCATTCCCAACCTCTCAGCTCTGAGTTAAAACGACACAATTCTGATTTTACTGGGTGCAGCAGCCGCTGGAAGTTCAGCGTTAGTTAGAATTTGGGCTGTGAATAGTTTACAGCATTGAGAGGTGTGGCAAGGGGAGAAATTTGGATTTCAGCTGAGCAGAGCTCTTTGTCAGGAGAGGGAATTGAGATGGCAGTGCTCTGGCACCAGACACCTGCCCCAGAACCCGAGTTTAACACTGGGGGAAGGACACTTATCTCCCCAAACACGCAGCAGCCACAAGTGCTGCTGCAGCATCCTCAGGGAAGAGGCAGGAAGGGGAATTAAAGCTGACACACAATTAGAATAGAGTTTGCAAGTCGTCCTGGAATCCTGGGGAAAGCAAATGGAAATCAGGCAGAAGCTATTTCTAGGCTGAATTTAGGGCTGAAAGAAGCAGAAATAGGCTTTCGCTAAGGACTAAATCCAAACCCTCCTAAGAAACCAAATTTAGTGTTTAAGGCTCCCAGTGCCTGTGTGCCAGCCTGGCTGCACAAGGGAAAGAAATACAAATATCAGGAGAGACTGGTGACGATTAGCCGGGGTAAAGCTGAGGAGCTGTGCCCGACTCCCAGCTCCGGGAATACCGGGACTCTTCCTGCAGCTGAGGGCAGGCTGAGGGGCTTGGGAAATGTTATCTCTGAGGAGGAGCCTGCCTTATCTCGTTCCCATCACACAGGTGACAGCATCAGCCAGCAGGTGCTGAACTCATCCACGGCCAGGGGGCGGCGAGAGGGGAAAGGACCGCAGGGAAGCGGGAGCAGGAATTAATTCTGCAGTCTCGGGCAGGAAGGAGCGGCGGTGATCCCAGGAGAGCATTCCCAGCCCCGCCGGGCCCTGCAAGCACACAAAGAGCGGCTGATCCCACCGGGAATGCGGCGGAGGCGGCAGCGTGCGGGGATGGGCGCTGCACCAGCCACATCCCAGCAGCAGGAACGGGGAGCAGCGAGGCCGGAGCATCCTTCCCTGCTCCTCCTCTTCCTCCTCCTCCTCGGGAGCACTCGAGGTCTCCCAGCCCCAGCACTGCCACGGCATCTCCCGCTCCTTCCAGATAATCAGACGAAACCAAAACGTGTCTGTTCTGGAATGCACAACTCTACTATCTTCCCAAAGGTTTTCAGCTCAAACGATCTTTAGGTAAAGGTGTAGCTGCTGCCGTGTCCCTGTCAGGGGAATGTCACAGCTCTGAACACCGTCCCTGCACGGGGTCAGCCCAGGACACGGCGAGGAACCTTCAGCTGCCTTCCGAGAGGACTCTCCACCTCTGAGGGACATTTCTGTCATCACTCAAGCCTGTCACCCCCGGGAAGCCACCACAGCCTGTTTGTCACCGAGGTTCTGGTTCCAACCACCGCCCCCAGGACAGAGCCAGTGAGTTTCCAGCTAACGCTGCAACAAGGTCACTGCATCCCAGCCAGCAGCCCAGGAAGATCCCTGCCTGCTCACCCTGGAGATGTGAGGGTTAAACACCCTTCACAGTGAACTCTGAGCTCTCACCCAGCCGTCCCCCTGGGAACGGCTTTGGAAAGGGGCTCTGGAGACTCACCTAGAAGAGCTTCTCGTAGCACTTGTCACAGTGGACAATGTCCCGGTGGATGAATATTTTATCCAGGAGCTCTCCCATCGCTTTGTGGCAAATTCCACACTGCCAAAGGGAAAACAAGGAGGTTGGGCAATGACCAAAACCCCCCACAGGAACAGCAGAAGGGAGGGAACAGAGGTCTCTGCATCATTTTATTAAGGGGTGAGGATGCAACCTTTGAGGTTTCCTACAACAGCCAAATGTCCCTGCAGGCCTCTTCCTCCCACACTCCCCATCCCTCCTCCTCCCACCCTGCCCACATCCCCGCACACTTTCCTTGGAAACCCTGCAGGGTTTGAGGATTCAGCCGCTTCCACTAGAGCACAAAGACCACAAAGCAGCAAGTCTGCCCCAAGGACAGTGGGGCAAGGACATGAGGCTGTTCTGAGGGTGCTGCCAATAACAAAGAATTCTCCTGTTCTAACATTTATTCAAAGACCTGAAAAACCTTCTGGGGACACCTGTGGCTGCCTGACTTTTTGTCCCAGTGTGAGGTAAGGATTTGGCACACGCCACGTATATCCCTCTGAAAGCCTGGGGATGGAATTTGCAGGAAGATCCCTGCTCCCAGCCCCACCATTCCCAGCAGCACAGGCACTGGGGCTCACCCTGAAGCAGTACTCGTGGCAGTGGATGTTCAGGTGCTCGATGATGATCTTGGGGCAGTCTCGGATCTCCCGGCTGCAGTAACTGCACAGGGGCTCACTGGACCTGGGAAGAACAGGGCACTGGGTTCCTCTGTGATGTTCTGCTTCCAGTCCCAGCCCTGCTGCCAGGGCTTTATCCCAGCCATCAGCACTGCTGTCCATGAGCAGCCTGCTCCCACACGTGGGACTGTGTGAGTGACAGAGCAGGGGACTGTGCTGTCCCAGAGACCACAGCAGTGGGGCAGGACAGATCTCAGAATCCTGAGATTCCACAGTTGTGGAATCATGGAATGGTTTGGGTTGGAAGGGACTGTAAAGATCATCCAGTCCCACCCTCTGCCACGACAGGGACACCTCCCACTGTCCCAGGCTGCTCCAGCCCCAGTGTCCAGCCTGGCCTTGGGCACTGCCAGGGATCCAGGGACAGCCCCAGCTGCTCTGGGCACCTGTGCCAGGGCTGCCCACCCTGCCAGGGAACAATTCCTGCCCCATATCCCATCCATCCCTGCCCTCAGCTGGTGAGAAGACATTCCTTTTTGTCCTGTCACTCCAGGCCCTTGGAAATAATCCCTTTCCATTCTTCTTGCGGGCTCCCTTCAGGCACTGGACAGCCACAATTAGGTTACCACAAAGCTTCTCAGCTCCAGGCTGAACAATCCCAATTCTCTCAGCCTTTCCTTGCAGGAGAGGAGCTCCATCCCTCTGACCACCTTGGTGGCCTGCTCTGGACTCTGACTTGGAGCCCACTTGGCTGTATTTCCATTTATTGTGCTGCTGTTCCACCAAACACACCCCAGTGTCCTCAAAAAGCAAACCCTTAAAATCATTTCTGATGGAGAATTGGATGAACCCCGCAAGGCAGCCCCGCCCTGTCCTACCTGTGCAGGGGAGCACTGGACAGGTAACTGTGGTGGCTGTAGCTGCTTCTCTCCAGGTCACTCAAATCCACAAGGCTGCGGAATGAAGGAGGGAAATATCAGCTCTTGGCAGCGCTTTGTGGGAAGAGAACCTCGGATGGAATCATAATCCAATGATTTGGAATATCCTGGCTACCTGTTCCTTGGGGAGAAGGTCCTCAAAGTGCCTTCCCAGGACACAAAGAGGAACCACTAAGTACCCCCAGAGGGGACTCTCCAGGCAAAACTCTGGCCTCACCAAATGTTTACATAATAGAAATAAAACCAATAAATAAATAATAATAATAAATTAATAAATAAACAAACAATGTTTACATTTGGCCCCTACAAATAGCATTTCTCACTGCTACAGCTCCAAATCCTGCACTGTTATGCAGGGAAAGGCACAGAGCACATCCTTGGTCTCATCCCTCATCCAGCTGAGCGTTCCCTCTCTGCCTGAGGTTCCTGGATATTTGGTTTATCTTTGGCTGCTGACAGCGGCTTTGCTGAGCTCTGGCGCAGGCTGGAGATTTACAGAGTGTCAGCAGCTCCTGCAGGGATGTCAGCCCAGCGCCAAGGGAGGAAAATGCCTGCAGGGAGCACCAAACTGGTGTGAACTGGTGCCACATCACCGTGAGGATGATGTGCATGGGGCTCTTGTCACACTGGGGCTGGTTTGGAGCAGCTTCACCAGAGCAGAACACAAAGGATTGAAGACTTAAGCTTGAAAATGGTGCAACTTCATTTTTTAAACTCATACAATGAAGTTTTTCCAGTGAGAGCCCTCACCCTCCACATTCTCCTCTCTCACTCCAATCATTTGGTTACAGGTGTCTCCCAGCTCCCATCCACCCCAGAGACACCAAGCCACTCCAGGAGGAGCTTCCCTGTCCCCTGGGAGCAGCGGGACAGTTCTGCTGCCACCAGCACAGCGGGAGGAGAGCACAGAGCCCTCCCAACACCCGCCCGGGCCCGATCAGCTCCAGCTGCTCCATCCTGCGGGGTGAGCACCTCTCCCTGGGCCGGGCTGACACACGGCCGGGACACCCGGCGGGGACACGGGGTGACACGGGAGGGGACACCCGGCGGAGACACGGGAGGGGACACGGGAGGGGACACCCGGAGGGGACATGGCTGTCCCACCCGGCGGTGACACGGGAGGTGACACGGCTGTCCCCAGCGCTCCGTACCTGCCGTGGCGCGGCGAGGCTGCAAAGCCGCCCGTGTTCACGTACTCCTTGACAAAGAGGATCCCTCTCCTGGGAAAACGGGAATCATTTGCATGAGAAAAGAGCGGCTGGGGCTCGGCAGAGCCGGGCAGGGCTCGGGGGTGCCCCCGGACACGGAACGCGTGCGGGAGAGGCTCGGGGCGGGATGCTGTTGTTCCCCAATAAATCTGCGTATTGTTGCTAAATAACAACTCCTCTAATTACCCCAGCAAAACAAATCGAGTTAATTGGAGAGAATGGGATGGATAATGTAACCCTTTCATCCAGTCAGGGGTTTGAGGGATAAATCTTTCCCAGCTCCCGTCAGGATTAGGAGCACAATGGGCACGGAGAGAGCTCCCAGCTCCCCCGATCCACCGAGCCTTGTGGCACAGCGCTGCTTCCAGTGATTTCATCCAAATCTCCAGTGATTTCAGACACTGCTGGCTGCTTGGGGATGTTTTTATACCTCCCTTGCATATTCCTGCCTCTTTCCAATCCCAGCTGCAGAATTTCATGCCCCATCCCTGCTCCAAGGGGAGGCCTGTGCCCCCCACCCTCTGCCTGCAGCTCTGACAGGAATTAATCAGCCTTTTCCATTTCCATGGTGCATTTTCACTGCTGCCTAAAAGCTGGGATTAATCCTCCCTTCTTACACTAAGCCCTGTCATGGCTAAGGAAAGAAACCTCTTTTTCTTTTTACTTAAACTGAGCCCGGGCTCTTTCTACATCATGGAATCATTAATCTTGAAAAAGACCTTTAAACATCATCATGGTGCCACCACCATGGTCACCACCAAACCACGTTCCCAAGTGTCACATCCACACATTTTCTGAACACTTCCACCACCAAACTCAATTCCCCTGGCCCATCCTGAGGCCGTTCCCTCTCCTCCTGTCCCTGTTCCTTGAGAGCAGAGCCCGACACCACGGCTGTTCCCTCCTGGTAGGGACTTGTGCAGAGCCAGAAATTCCCCCTGAGCCTCCTTTGCTCCATGCTGAGCCCCCTTTCCCAGCTCCCTCAGGAATTCTCCACCCTCTTCCCAGCTCTGTTCCCTTCCCTGGACAGGCTCCAGCCCCTCAGGGTCTGCCTTGTCCAGAAGTGACCCCTGGATTCCACGTGGGACCACCTCAGCAGCGCCCAGCACAGGGGGACAATCACTGCCCTGACCCTGCTGGCCGCAGTGGGTGACACCAGGCAGGTGCCAAAGCTGGAATTCCTCACCAGGCAGGTGCTAAAGCTGGAATTCCTCACCAGGCAGGATGTCCCTACCCTGCAGTGAGGGCATTGTGCCCCTCTTGGTTGTTTACCCGGCAGTGCTGGAGTCAGGCTGGTACCCAGAGCTGTGGTGGGAGCTGCAGAGCCTCTCACTAGAGCTGGAGAGGAGCCTGTGGAGAGAGGGAAAATTCTGTGAGCCACGGCAGGATCCAAGCTGGCAGCCAGGAGAGGAGCGGCTGCCACTGCTGGGAGGGCAGATGGACAGCACAGCCCTTTGCCAGACCTTATCATGGACCAAACCGAACCCTTTCTCCTTCTACATCTGCCACAGGACAGGATTGCTTCCCTGGAGAAGGGATTTGGGGAAGTCTCACTTGATGGGCCATGAGACAGAAGATCCAACGAGATCTTCCAGTGAAGATGGGCTGAGTGAGTGGGAGCCTGACTGGGAGCAGCCACAGGGAGAAAGGACACAGGAGGAATTGCAGGAGATGGGAACATTCCCAAAGCCAGTGGAACTGTCCCTATGGAAAACAGCTCTGTCCATCCACCCAGCAATGAGACCTGGAGTGAGGCTGACCTTTCCTGGAGCCAATCCAAGGATCTTGTGCCCCCTCTTCACCCCCAGAACTACTGATTGTTACAGATCCAGCCCTCAGCCTTGCTCTGGTGGCTGCATGGAGCATCAGACAGCACATGGGCAGGCTGGCACTGCCAGGAGGGACTGCAGGATAATGGAATTCCACACTGGACACCTCCTGCCCCTTCCATCAGCCTTGTCCTGGGAGCAGTTCTGTCATTTAACCATTGACATTCTGGGGACAGGGACTCTCTCTCTGTTTTCCTGTAGCAAAGGCCAACACACAGCTCCCCATTCTCCTGTTCCTCTCTTCTGGCTTCCCACACAGTGAAAAATCTCCAGGGATTTTTCTGGATGTATCCCAGATCCTCTGCTAGGCAGCTTTAGCTAGAAACGGTTTAAGAGCTGGTCTGTGCCTCTGGATCATGAATCCACTCCCTGGAAACCAATCCTCCCTCTCTCAGCTCTTTGGCTTTGCCTGCTGGCTCCTATTCCAGAAATTTCTGGGCAGTTTCCCTCGGAGCCCTGGTGACTCCCCGTTTACCTGGTGCTGTTACAGTTTAAGCTGTCCATGTAGAACGGCACCCTGTGGCTTCTCTGGGACATGGACATGGTGGGATCCCTGGGAAGGGACTCGTGGCTGGGGAGAGGAAGTGGAACAGTCTCAAGCTCTGAGTTTGGGCAGCTGAGGGATCCTCACACGGGGTGGGAATCGGGGCTGGAATCTCCCTGCTGGGCACTGACCCCTCCCAGCCAACCCCTGCTCACATCCAGGGAATCAGCACGTGGATCAGGACACCTGGATGGAAGCGTGGCAGTGGGAAGCTCCTTGGTTTGGGAAGCTGGGATCCCAGCCCTGCACTCACCGTCCTGCAGGGGGGCTGAAGTCGCCGTGCCCCCTGGCACCGTCATACCAGCTGCTCCTGGGGCTGCTGCTCCCGGGAAAAGCGCTCCCTCTGGGATCGGGGCTGGGCCTGCTGAGGAGACACGAAGCCCTGAGCAGCAGGAATCTCTGCAGTCCCCACGCTGGGCTCACAGTCACTGCCAGGGGCTCTGGCACCCAGGAAATGTGTGGATGTGAGGCTGTGGCTTGGTGGTGAGCATGTCACAGCACTGGATTGGCAGCTGATGGTCACAGAGGCCTTTCCCAGCCATGAGAACTCCATGATTCCATGATTCCATCATTTCCCCATGCTCTGCTCTCCCTGTGCTGGTTCTGGGCTCCACAGGGAGAGCAGGCTCCAAACCCAGCACCTGAGCAAAGCCAAAGCATTCCCAAACAGATTGCCTGGAGAAGCTGTGGCTGCCCCATTCCTGGAAGTGTCCAAGGCCAGGCTGGATGGGGCTTGGAGCAGCCTGGGATAGTGGAAGGTGTCCCACGCCAGCAGCTTTCCCTGTCTCTGCATCCCAAACCCTTCACCCCCAAACCCTTCACCCCCAAACCCTTCACCCCCAAACCCTCACCTCCTGGTGCTGAACATCTGGCTGTCCACGTAGCCTGGAATCCTGTGGCTGGGCACGGAGCCTCCGAAGGACTGGCGGTCCTGGAACAGGGACACGGGGGGCTGGGACTCCTGGGAACCCGGAACGCTCTCCTGGGAGCTGAACTCAGACCTGCTGAGGAATTAAAACCAGTTTGACCATAAATCCAAGGGGGGGGTCTTTGCTCTGAGCAGCTCACACGAGTGTCCAGGGTCTGCTGAGGGTGGATCCTGCCCCTGGGAGAACTGGGACACCACGTGTTAACAGAATCACTGGATAATGGAATTCCAGAATCCCAGAGTGGTTTGGGTTGGGTGGGACCTCCAAGTTCATCCCAATTCCACCCCTGCCATGGGCAGGGATATCTCCCACTGTCCCAGGATGCTCCAAGCCCCAGTGTCCAGCCTGGCCTTGGGCACTGCCAGGGATCTGCTCTGGGCACCTGTGCCAGGGCCTGCCCACCCTCAGGGGAACAATTCCCTCCCAGAACTCCTGTGGTCAGTGCTATTGGATTGGGCAAATTCCCTGGCTCCCTGCTTCAGCCAGGAGTGTTCCAAGGAGCGAAGGATGAGGCTGAGAGCCACTGATGGCACCACCACAGGGATGTCCCCAGCATACCCGGCTGGCCCCGGGGTGGGCTCGCTGTGCCTCCAGTCCCCCAGGCTCTCACGGGGGCTGTCTGTGCTGGCACTGGTTTGTCCCTCATAGTCCAGAGTGATCCTGGTGAGGAGGAAAGAGCTGTCAGGAGCTCCAGCACCTGCATGTGACCCTGCCCACTGTGGGGGTAAGTGCAGGATCACTGTGACTGTCACAGCATCAGTGTCAGGGTGCTTTAGCTTGGGAGGGACCTTAAAACTCATCTGGTGCCACCCCTGCCATGGCAGGGACACCTCCCACTGTCCCAGGTGCTCCAAACCCCATCCAGCCTGGCCTTGGACATTCCAGGGATCCAGGGGCTGCTCTGGGCACCTGTGCCAGGGCCTGCCCACCCTGCCAGGAACAATTCCTGCCCCATATCCCATCTAACACTGGGAGCCATTCCCTGTGTCCTGTCCCTCCATTCCTTGTCCCCAGTCCCTCTCCAGCTCTCCTGGAGCCCCTTTGGGCCCTGGGAGGGGCTCTGAGCTCTCCCTGGAGCTTCTCCTCTCCAGGTGAGCAGTCCCAGCTCTCCCAGCCTGGCTCCAGAGGGGCTCCAGCCTTGGAGCAGCTCTGTGGCTCCTCTGGACTCTCTCCAGCAGCTCCACATCCTCCTGATGCTGAGCTGCAACAATTCCTGTGGGAGATCCCTGCAGTGCTCTGCTCCTTCCAGGGTGAAGGGTGGCACTGGCAGAGTCTGTACTGGCTCCTGAATTCCCTAAGCCAGGAAATGAGCATTTGGATGCCTTGGGACAGGCCAGGAAGGAGAGCTGGAGGTGTGTGAGGGGTGTCCTGGTGGCCCAGCTCCGTACCTGTCCCTGCGTGGCTCAGACTCGTTGCCACGTGGAATCTCTGGAGCTGGGACACTGCTTCCTGCAGGATCAGAGCTCAACCTGCCAAGACATGAGAGCTTTACGTTCTGTGGAAGCACCCTGAGCACAGAATTCCTGTGGGATGGAGATGCAGCCCCTGGAGAATCTCCTGCCTCAAGGGGAAAAAATAAGAAAGTGCAATATCCCTGCATGGAAATGTTCCAGGTAGAATCGTGGAATCACGGAATTGTTTAGGTTGGAAAAGCCCTTTAAGATCATCAAATGCAACCACCCAGCCCTAACCCAAGTCCTCAAATAACCCAAAGGGATGTGAAAAAAACCAGATGGAAAATCCAGGCCTCTTAAGAAACAGGGATGAAAGGAGGGACCCCAACCATGGCACCTTTAGTGCCTCCCCCAGAGCTCCCTGCACCAAATTCCCCACCAGGAAAAGCAGCCCCATTATTTCTCTTGCCTTCCTGCCGTGGTTTCCTCCCTCTGCAGGCAGGATGACATTCCCACATCCCTGTCCCTGCTGCCAGCAGTGTCCTGGGAGCACAGCTCAGACCTGGGGACAGGAACGCTCTGGTCACCCCCTGACTCCAAGATGCTCTCACTGACACACCTGGAAGGGAGCCCAGTTTCACCAAGAGCCTCAGCTCTTCCAATTCAGGTGGAAAATATGGACAAAAGAAAGGAAACCAGTCCATAAAGTCCTTCCATGTGCACACCCTGAGCGGGGAAGTTCAAAACCAGACTATGATGTCTAATGCCAAATTTTGTTGCTCTCCCTTTATTTATCTCTCCCTAGAGACCCAAATTTAAAGTCTAGGAAGCAGCTCCAGCTGGACAGGATTTGATGGCTTCAGCCAAGGAGGATATTTCCTCCCAGGTTTTCCTGTAAAACCATGGTAAAAGGGTCATCCAGCAGAAGCAGCACTAGAATCAGGCACAAAAATGTCTCAGGTTTCACTAGGGGAGGTTTAGATTGGATATTGGGAAAAAAATCTGCATGGAAAGGATTGTCAAGGCCTGGAAAGGTTCAGGAAATGTGTGGATGTGGCACTTGGGGACATGAATGGGTGCTGAACATGGTGATGGTGCTGGCTGACGCTTGGACTTGATCCCAAAGGTCTTTTCCAGCTTGTTCTATGGAAAGGAGAACCTGGGGGGATATTTATCAGCAGGGGATGAGATGCCCAAGGAATGACCCTCATCCCACAGGAGAAGCTGGGGGGAATATCCCATTCCTTACCCGGCCCTGCTGGGCTCAGTGGGATCCTTCAGCCTGGGGGGCTCTGGGGGGGCGTCATGGCCAGGAGCTCCTTGGCCCCTCTCACTGAGGATGGATGAGTCCAGGAGCCTAAACCAGAGAGCCAGGAGTGGGAAAATCCATGCTGGGATGGGCAGACACCCATTCCCTGGAGAGGAGCAGGAGCCAGTTTGGCCAGAGCCATTCCAAACATCCCAAATCTCCAGTCCCAAACCTCCCAGTCCCCCCAGTGCTTACCTTGTCTCATCCCAGTAGGGCTGGTGGTAGGATGGGCCCTCAGGATTCGTGGAGCTGCTCCTCTCCTCATAGCCCAGGACAGACCTGGAAAGCAACACCCATCACATCCCTAAAAAGTGGATCCTGGCACTGCTCTGCTTTTCTCCAGGACTCTCCATGTCCCTGTATCCAGCTGCTTCCAGCTCCGTGCTGCTGCTGCAGCATCCCTGGATTACCAGGGAATGAAAAGGGACTGCCTGAACCCCATGGAGAACACAAGAGGAGGAAAAACCTGTCTGGTCTCAAAGGAGATGGAGAGGGATACAACACAAAGCTCTTGGTTTATTTCAGTTTCAGTTGTCTCCATCCTTGGGATAAAAGCGGGATGAGGAGCCTCTTTCTGTGCCTGCCCATTCAGGTTCTCCTTAATCCTCAGGATTCTTCCTGCACCCATTAAATTCACCCTGCTCTTACCTTTTAAAGGAATATTCTGTGTCCTCGATGTGCACAGGGGTTCTCTCAGTGGGATGAAAAGGGACATCAGACTGCAAGGATGACCTGGCAAAAAAACCCCAGGGAATTTAGAGCTTCCAAAAGTTGCCAGGGGATCTGTATGGAACAGCAACGCTGAACTTTGTATCAGCCCAGGAAACAGGAAAGAATTGTCTAAGAGAGCTGATTTTCCCTCAGAAAAACCCACTTTCCATCCTAACCAAGAGGAGGAGAGGCTGGTGAGGGAACTGGGCGATTACTGGGATTCAATTCCCACACATCTCCGTACAGGAATTTCCTGTCACACATCTCCGTACAGGAATTTCCTGTCCTGTCCCAGGATGGAGCACCTGGACAATGCACAACATGAATGACTTTGGAGAAGACATTCCCACATCCCCAGCAGCAGCTCCAGGCCGTGGCACCCTCCTCACCTCAGCTCAGGGGGCTGGATTCATTTCCTAGGATCCAGGAATCATGGAATGGGTTGGGTTGGAGGGATCTTAAAACCCATCCAGTGCCACCCCTGCCATGGGCAGGGACACCTTCCACTATCTCAGGCTGCTCTGAGCCCCAGTGTCCAACCTGGCCCTGAAATCTGCTCACCTCAAGGCCTTTGTTGTGCCAAGGCATGGAAATGAATCCCAGAATAATGGACAAGGGAGGGAAGCAGCTCCAGGGAGCTCAGTGCTGCCAACAGCAGCAATTCCCCCCTGACCCATCACCTCTGGCAATGTCAGGGGACCAAAGGCTCTAAAACCGTGTGGGATGGAGGCACTAAAGGCAGTGCTGGAGCTGCTGGATCTGCTCCCAGAGCCCCTGAGGCTGGAAACCCCTCTGGGATCATCAAATCCAAGCTGTGCCCGATGCCCACCTTGTCCCCAGCCCAGAGCTCTGGGTGCCACCTCCAGCCCTTCCTTGCACACCTCCAGGAATGGGCACTCCAACCCTCCCTGGGCAGCCCCTGCCAGGGCCTGAGAACCCTTTCCATGGGGAAATTCCTCCTGAATTCTGCTCCTCTGGGAAGGAGTTGTGTAACAGTGAATGGAAAGATGCCGTTCCTGCTGTTTACCCACGCAGGATTTTCCTTTCCCAGCTGCTTTGTTGCCCAGTTTGGATCCTTATCCCAGCTCTACTCTGGACAAGTTGTTTATTCCCAGCCCCAGCCCCCGTGCAGGGTCACACCTGGTGTCACCCAGGGAGGGCTCGGATGGACGGAGCAGCTTCTCCGGAGCATCCCCAGCTCTGTCCCAGGAAGCAGAGCTGCACCTGCGAGAGAAGGGGGTTGGTCCAGCAGGAAGCTCAGCAAGAGGAGGACACCAAGGAGGAAGAACATCCACCACGAGGTTTTCCTGGCTCTGGTGGAACGGCTTTTCTTCCCTCCTGCTTAGCTCTGGGAATTTCCTGAAGGGCTGAGCCCCAAATCCAACCCGCTCGTCCTCGTGTGAGGAAAGCAGCTGGAAGATCCCAGGCCTTTGGAGTGGCTGGGTCAGACCCACGGGGCAGTCCCAGGTCAGGAGAAACACCCCCAGCCCTAAAATGAAGGAGAAAAAGGCAATTTTCCACTTACTCTGGTGGGTAAAACCCATTGTTGGCTTCTGTGTGCTCAGGAAATCTGGAAAAGAGAGACACAACTTTAGCCACGTCCTGCAGTCACTTTCCCCATGCACTTCACAGAGGAGAGAGCAGCTCTACAAAGCCTAGATGGAATCTGCTTTTCCTTCAGTAAATATCCATTCCAAGATTCCAGCCAGCTCCAGAACAGGGTTTTGTGGGTTGTGCAGTGCCCAGGAATCCCACAGTGGCTCTACCTTCCATTCGTGGCTCTGGGGGTTCCTTCATCCCTTGGGAACCTCTCAGGCTTTTCCTTCGGAACTTTGTCACTAGGAAAAGGAAAATTCCAGTGAAAATGGGACCTGTCAGCCTTTGTAAGGTATCACCCTGGAGAAATGTGCAGATATTTGTTTGGGGAACACGATGGGGTTAAATGTCTCCATCAGGATGGGCAGGGCTGCACTCCCCAGCCCGCTGGGGCAGGCTGCAGGTCACGGATCACGGAACCATGGACCACCAGAACCAGCAGCGGCCACCAAGGACCAGCAGAGCCCTTGGGACAGTTCTGGGGAAGGGCAGGGGAGGCAAAGGGAGCAGCAAAATCCAAAATGCAGGGAGGAGAATCCCAGAGGAGTGGGGGAAGAGAGGAGATCTCTGGCAGGCTGCAGCTCTGCCAGCAGATGCTGCTCTTGGAGTGCAGCCCAGGGCTGGCAGCAGGGAGCTGCTGTTCCCCAGAAAATCCTTGGTCCAGCAGCAACCCCAATTCCTTACCCATCCCCATGCTGGGACACCGTTCCCAAGGAGAATTTCCCATCCAGGGCCTGTCTGTGGTCACCATTCCTGCAGGAAAAACAGCAGGAGCGTGAGGGAGGGAGATGAGGAGCTGCAGAGAGTGGTGCTGCAAGGGAGCTACAAACAGGGCAGGAAGAGGGGAGGAAAAATCAAAGGGAAAACCATCAGCTGAGCCGATGGAAAGGGCTGCAGGTTTGGATTCACACTCCCAGCACAGAGCTGGGAAATGCTCAAACTGTGGGAGGCCCTCGAGTTCCATCTGGGGATGTTTCCCCCCAGATGCTTTTGCCCCTTGCCTGGAATTCCCTGTGTGGAGTTTGCTGTTCTGAGCTGCTCCTGGAGGATTTTGTGTCTCCAGGGGATGCCCCAGGCAGGGCTGGATTCCCCATCCTGCCCTCAGGGATTCTGAGGCTGCTGCAGGGCTCCACACCCACCTGACATCAGCAGAAGTGGAGATTTTCCCTGAGGTGTCACTCAGGGATGGGGATGTTTGGCTCCTGCTGCCTGGTTTGGGGCTGCAAGGGAAGAAAAAGGACAAAATTGTCATTCCTGGTTAAAGCAGCTCCAACTGCAGCAAGTCTGACCTGCACTGGACTGTTCCTGATGGGAATGAAGAAAATGGGGATGAATCATCACCCTTCTCAATCCGCTCCCTGGCAAAGTCATCTTCTCAGGAGCGAGTTTTAAATTCAAAGCACTGATTTTGCCAGGAATTTCCACTTTCTGCAGTGACACACCAGTAAAAGCAGCAGGACAAGGGCAGCTGTCCTTTTTGAGCTGTTTTTTGTGCTGTTTGCAGCAAGAACTATTCCACCTTTTTTATACTCCAGGCATGGATTCAGTCAAAAACACCGGAAAACAACTGGAAATTATTCCCTTTCTCCTGTTTGGTGTGAGAGGGTTCAGCTGGAAGAGCTTGGAGCACCCTGGGGTAGTGCAAGGTGGGATTGGACGGGCTTTAAGGTCCTTCCAACCCAAACCATCCCAAATTCTGCCTTTGGGATTTTTTCCTTTTGGGTTTTGAGTCCTTGTGTCGGGATATTGTCAGACACTGATTTCAGCCATGAAACCTTTATGTAGAGACATCTGAATTCAGGAAAGGTTTCCCATGGAAAGGTGGATTTGGTTCCTCCCCTTTCCCAGAGCGGTGCCCACAGAGGTCTCTGACTCCAGCCCAAGCTGTGCCACCCACCCTGGCTGTGCTGGAATTCTCACCTGGAGGGAGACGCTGCTGCCGCTGCCTTTGGCTCATCCCAGGTAGATCCAGGGCTGGTTTTTCTTAGCCCATTAGCACTGACAAAAAAACCCCCACAAAAACAATTATAAATTGTTTTTAATAAATTTTAATAAATTAATTATAATTTAATAAATATATAATTTATTAATTATAAATTAATATCAAGAAATATAATATTTTAAAATTATTTATATTTTAGTAAATATTTTAATTTTTATCTTCGATTATTTATTCATTTATATAATAATAAATGATATAATATATACAACACATAACAATATATAATAATTTATTGTTGCTATAATTCATATTTCATTACTTTAATTATTAATATTATTAATAGTAATATTATTTACATTATAATATTACTATAAATAGTAATATTTACATTATTGATGCAATAATATTATTGTATTTATGTATTATTGTATTATTATTATTTTATTATTTCTATATAGAATATATATAAACATAGATCAATAAACATAAATAAAATAATTAGAAACAAAAGAATTTAAAACAAAATAATTAAAACCAAAATAATTTAAAACAAAATAATTATAATTAAATTATTATAATATTAATAATAAATATTTATTAATTATTAATAAAAATTAATAAATTATTATAATAATGAAAAATAAAAACAAAAATTAAAAATTAAAAATAAAATAATTAAAAATAAGTAACAAAAATAAATAACAAAATAAATAACTAAATAAAATAAACTAAACTAAAATAAACTAAACTCAAATAAACTAAACTCAAATAAAATAAATTAAAATAAAATAAATTAAAATAAAATAAAATAAATTAAAACAAATTAAAATAAAATAATAAATTTAAATACAATAATAAATTTAAATAATAAAACATTAACCCAGGTGTCTTTTAGGAGCTTCTCCCATGGGAGCAGAAATGCTGCTTTGTGCCCAGAGCTCCTGCGTTGCTGCCTGAGCAGTGTCCCCGTGCTCTGTGGCACTGCTGTCACTCACATCTGCCTTTCTGCTGGAACACTCGGGTTTAGTGACCGATTTTTCCCCGTTTATCCCAGGGGGAGCCGTTTCCATCCCCAGGGTTTCCCCTGCTCTGCAAACCCTGCAGGCCTGGCTGTGTTTGTGCAGCTGATAAATGCAGTTATCCCAGGGCTGGAATATCCATCCCACCTGCTGCTGTCCGGAGCAAAGCTGGATGGAGCCGGCACCGTCGGGTTCCTCCTCTGCTGTCCTTCCTCCTCTTCAATCTCAATCCTTTCCACAGGGAGAGAGAGACACGTGCCACATCATTTCCTCCGTTCCTGCAGCTCTCCAGGTAGTTTATCCCTGTTTTCCCTGTTTCCTGAGCAGGCTGTTCCTGCTGCTCCTGCTGAGCATCCCAAGGGGCAGAATGCAGCCAGGTCAGCGGGACTTTTCCAAGCAGCATCAGCTGAGTTCCTGGGTTCCAGAGGGAGCCCTGGGCACCTTTGTGCCCTGTCTGGGGAGCCTTCTCCTGGCAGGCTGGAGCAGCTTCCCAGCAAACAGGAGAGCTGGGACTGGATCTCCCCAGTTTCAGGTTGCCCAGAACCCAAAGCACCCTCAGGATTGCATTCCCAGCATTTCCAACATCGCTTCTCCCCAAAAACACCCAGCGGGATCCAGCCCCCAGCATTCCTTTTCCAAGGAATTGTTCCTCCTCTGCCGTGAAGCTCCCGGGATCTGCTGTCCCAGCCTGGTTCACACAGCCAGCCCCAGCAGGGCTCCCCAGCACCCACCTCTTGGCAATCAGGGCTGGGAATTCCTGAGTTGGGCTCCTGCGGAGGAAGGATTAAGGGGTAGTTAAAGGATTGGAGGGAAAGGCACTCCCTGGGCAGGGGCAGAACCTCCCAGGACCCCACCCCAGGTCCTGTCACCCCTCTGGGCAGAGCTGGCCCAGACCAGGGCGGGCACAGCTGGGCAAGCTCCCAGTGAAATAATCCAACCTCGGAGAGCAGCTGGAGGACTGAGGCTGAAAATGGGACTCTTGATTCCCTTAGGGAATTAGGGACTCCCATGGTTTACTGGAAATTTCATCCCCCTCGAGAGGGAATACTTGGAGGATCTCCCAGTTCTGCAGAAACCTGCAGATCCCATGGAATCATGGAATGATTCGGGCTGGAAGGGATCTTAAAGATCATCCAGCCTCACCCCCAGCCATGGCAGGGACACCTCCCACTGTCCCAGGTGCTCCAGCCCCAATGTCCAGCCTGGCCTGGGACATTCCAGGGATCCAGGGACAGCCCCAGCTGCTCTGGGCACCTGTGCCAGGGCCTGCCCACCCTGCCAGGGAACAATTCCTGCCCAAAATCCCATCCAGCCCTGTCCTCTGGCACTGGGAGCCATTTCCTGGGTCCTGTCCCTCCATCCCTTGTCCCCAGTCCCTCCTCAGCTCTCCTGGAGCCCCTTCAGGTCCTGGCAGGAGCTCTGAGCTCTCTCTGGATCCTCCTCCTCTCCAGGTGAGCAGTCCCAGCTCTCTCCTCACAGGGAAGGAGCTCCAGCCCTCGCAGTACCTTTGTGGCCTGTCCTTGGCTGCTGTGCTGGGGAGGTTCCCTTCCCCTCCAGCCCCCCTTCCCTGGCTGCTGCCCCATTCCCACCTCTGGAACTCACCCGTTGCTCTTCTTGGCGGCAGACAGGACGTAGGCGCGCTCCCGGCCGGCCGAGCGCCGCAGGACGCTGTTGGCAGCCTCAGTCCTGGAGGGGAGGGAGGCAGGAAGGGAAGGGGTCACATCCTGCTCATCCTGGCACTCCCGGCTGGCTGGAGCCTTGGATGAGCAAGGAATGAGACTGGGGCTAACCCTGGCAGGGCTCCTGCTCTCTGGGGAGCAGATTCCATGGAATCATGGAATGGCTCAGGTTGGAAAACACCTTTAAAACCATCTGGACCAACCATCAACCAGCACGACCACCATGGTCACCACCGAGCCATGTCCTCAAGTGCCACAGGGTTTCCAGACACTTCCAGGGATGGGGACTCCACCACTGGAGCAGCTGTGCCAGGGCTGGACAACCCCTCGCAGAGCTGGACTGCTGCTCTACAGGATTCCACGGACAGAAGAATGGGGTGTGGCTCTGTGGCTGACACCCCCACGGAGTGTCCCACGGGAGAAGGGATCACTCCCAGGGATCCAGGACCTGCCCACCCTGCCAGGGAACAATTCCTGCCCAGTGTCCCATCCAGCCCTGCCCTCTGGCCATTCCCTGTGCCCTGTCCCTCCATCCCTTATCCAAAGCCCCTCTCCAGCCCTTGAGTGGTTGGACCCTGGGGACAGTGACCAAGTTTTCCTTTGTCCAGCTCTTGTGGCTGAGGAAAAGAGTCCTCAGAAACTCCATCAAAGGCTGCAGCCAGAGAGACCAGACCTGTTCCCATCCCTGTCCTGTGCCCCTGGATCCCTGTAAGTGTCCCAGGCCAGGCTGGGCAGGGCTTGGAGCAGCCTGGGACAGCAGGAATTGTCCCTGTCCATGGGACACGAGGAGTTTTGGGTGGTCTCTTCCACCCAAACCATTCCAGGATGATTCTCTGAGCCTATTCCCGCCTGGAGCAGGACAGCCCTGCTGGGAGAGCAGGGGGAGCTGGGTTCCCTGCTGGCTGTGTGTGCACATTCCCATTTCCCGGGGCATCCCACGGGTTCCCTGCCCGCTGCCGGGTTAATTGGGCCGCGCTGTCAGGCCGCATCTCGTCAGGCGCTGAATCCCGCTCTGTTGGGAGCGCGGTGGCCCGTGCTTCCTGGAGAAACCCTGGCTCCTCTTGGATCTCACCCAGCCCTGCTCCACACCCGCATCCATGGATGGAGCAGAGCTTGTCACTGTCCCTGCAGGCGCCTCCAGGCCTCACCTCTTCTTGTGCTCGTCCGGGGAAAAAGGCGCGTCCTCCTCGTCCGCATCCATGGATTTCTGCCGGACGTTGTACGGAGCTCTGGGATGGGGAGGGAAGGGAGAGCCAGGTCAGGGAATCGCTGCTGGGCCTGGGGCAGAGGCTGCAGGAGCCAGAGGTGAATCCAAGGGATCGGTTCAGACCCTGGAAGATGCCTGTACTTTCCACAGGGGTACATGTTTCCCTGCAAGAGTTTTTCCCTTAGTCCAGAGGTCCCAAGCCCATTTTGGATCAGAGCCACGAGAAGCTGGGCAGGAAATGCCCACAGTGCTGCTCTGCCACGGGCATCCCCCTTTCTCCAGGCTTCAGGAACACTCCAAACCTGCAGAATTCCAGGCTGCTCCCTCCACTCCTTCCTGCTGCTAAAATCCCCTCACACCAAGGTCGGTGCCAGCTCAAGGGGCTCCTCCTGGCCCACGGAGACCCGGGAACTATCACCCTGAAACTGGAGCCTTCTGATTGTTGAGGACATTGTTTATTTTCTTTGTTATTTTCCTTTTTGATTGTTTAAAATATTCTTCATTTTCTCTGTTCATTTTTCTTTCTTTAAAGAAGAAAGGGTGAGATATCTCCCTGAAAACCAAACCTTCTGATAATGTTTTCATAGCTTTAGTTCCTTTTCCATGAAAGCTCTATAAACATAAGTTGTTTATCACATTTCTTCTAAGAAACATCTTTTGATGGATGCTCCACATGAGCAGTGTGATTGGGAAGGTGGTAACTTAATTATCCAACCCCTGGTCATTGTTGAGAACCTATAAATACTGGAGTCAGAAAAATAAAGTTCTTTTTGTGTCACACCACTGAGACGTGTTGGGGTGAATCATTCTGTGTCCTTTAGGGAGAGGGAACCCCTGGAATTCCCAGGGGAAGCTCCCAGGGTGTTCCCAGGGCTCGCCCTGAGCAGGGACAGCAGGAGCTGCTCCCTTTGCACACTCACAGTTTCTTGTAGTCCTCCGTGGTCATCCTGTAGCCTGAGGGGGAGCGGCTCTGGCCCTTCAGGGCAGTGCTGGGGGGACACAAACCACACCTGGGAATGTGACCTGACCTTCCCTTCCCTTCTCCCTCCCCAGGGCAGCTCTGCAGGAAGGGGGAAACCAGAGACACCCCAGATCTGACCTGTGAGAATCAAATGTGAGCGCCTCGCACAGGACGGGTTAAAAAACCCTCCAAAAATCCCATCAAAACCAAGCAAAATTCCAGCTTGCATTTTCCCCCCTGCTCTGAACCAGTTCCCAAATTAGCCCCAAGCCCGTGAGCTCTCCCAGAGCCGGCTGTGCTGAGGAAAACGGAGTTTGACACCCACTCTTTTCACCTGAAATGCACAGCCAGACCTTCCAGCATTTTGTGGGGATTTGGGAGAGCTCTGGAAACCCAGGAGCACCAGCAGAGCAAGGGGATGGCTGGAAATGAGAGCTGAAAATCTCCTTTTCATGAAGGGGGAGAAGGCAGGGGGGCACTCTCGTACTTTTTCTGTGCTTGGCTGGAAGGTGAAGAATCCGGCACGGATGAGCTCTTGTCGATGGTCCTGGTGAAAACCCCCCTGGGGAGGGAAGGGACACCTTGAGATTTTGGCTGGGAAAAGTTTGGAGCCAAGCTCAAAGTAGCAGGACTGGCTGGAATATTGGCTAAATGTTGGCTGGGATGGTCCCAGCTCACAGAACCCAGGAGGGAACATTTTCACTCCCTTGTTTTGTGTTTTTGTTCCTGATCCAGTTCTCCTCCCCCTGCAGCCCAGGTCGCTCCCATTCCAAACCCACCTGATGAGGTATCCGGGCTGGGCCTTGGGGACAGAGCACCTGTGCAAAGGACAGACACCAGGGAGTTAAAAACAGGGGGAAACAACAGCAGCAGCACCAAAACCTTCGGGATTGAGGGGAAAATCCTCGTGGATGTCAAAGCAAAACTCCAGCTAAGCAGGCCTGCAGGGGTCCCACAGCTGGACTGAGCCTGGAGAGATGTTTTAAAATTAATCATCATCACAACAGGCTCTAGAAAGGATTTTTTTAATAGGGAAAGTGAAATTTAGAGCCAGCCAATTAATATTAGCAATAATAATAATAGTAATATAATAATAATAATAACAATAATAATAATAACAATAATAATAATAATAATTTAAAATAAAATTGACTAAAACAAAACCAGTAAAATATTTTAATTATTGCTTAAATATTAAATTAAATTATATACTTCTTTGTATATAATATATAAATATTATAAAAAATTAACTTCTATAAATATATGTGCTACATAGCTATACTAAATATGAATGATTTAATTTATTTTCATTTTATAGATAATAATATAAATAAATAATTTATTTAATAAATATTTCATTTATAAATATTTATTTAATTAATATAAATATATATAAATATATAAAATATATTTTTTATTTTAGATTTTAAAATTTTAATTTAATTAATTTAAAATATTTTTAATTTTTAATTATTATTTTATGTAAAAATATATATTTATCAGTCAATTTATTTAATTAATATTAAAGCACAGTCGGGCTCCTCCTCTGCTGTCCTTCCTCCTATCTCAATCTTTCCTATAAATACATATTTATCAATCAATTTCCTATAAATATGTATTTATCAATCAATCAATTTATTTAATGTTTTAAATTTAAGATGTAGAAGTACATAAAGGTAATTAGGAGTTTAAGGTATAAGAAGCAGCTCTGTGTGTCATTGTATGATTAGTTAAGGATGCACTGCGGGGGAGATGTGTAAAGCAAAATATTTAGTTATTGGTGTGGAAGTTGAAATATTCTTTTGTGGCATTAGTTTATTGGTTTAATAACCTTTAAAGAAGCTTGTGACCCAGAGTCTTGTGAAACTGACTAAGAACATCTGGTGAATGAGGTGAGGATGAACTCATTCCTTCAGGAGACCACAAAAGAAGAATAAATCACGCTTTGAAACATCTCCCAGCGGTCCCATCTCTCATGAAACCCCGATTCCCTGGTGCTCTGAAGCCCTGGGGAGCTGAGGGGCTGCTCCAGCACAGCACTGATGTCCCTCCCCAGCCCCAGGGCCTTGAACGATCCTCTCTGCGAAGGAAAGCCATCCCTCCATCCCTCTGCACCTCTGGGGAACCAACCCAGCCCCTCCCCAAGGCGAGGGGGGCACAGGGAGAGCCTCCCAACCCCGGGAACAGCAGGAAGGAGAGGGATGGGCCTCAGGAATTACCTGTCCTGCTGGGGAGCTGCAGCTTTGGGGGCTGTGGATCCACCACCAGCCTGTCCAGACCTGAGGGAACAGGAAACACAAAAAGGGGCTCAACTGATTGCTGGATGTGGCCACGATGGGTTTGGAGAGAGCAGGAATTAAAGGGGGATTTGGGATTGGGTTTGTTCCCCAGGAAAGAGGAGCTGGAGCAGGCTGGTGTTCCCTGGCACTGTGAGACATCCAGGGAAATGTTTGGTCTCCTGCCTCTTCCATCCTAAACTCCCTCCATCCAGTGCCTAAACTCCCTCCATCCAGTGCCTAAACTCCCTCCGTCCTGCCCTGAGTTTGTCACTCCGAGGTGCTGAAGCTCAATCTGGCTTCACAAAACTCTGGAGCTCTCCTGAGGTTCCCAATCCATCCATGCTGCAGAATTCCAGCTCCAGCAGAAGACATTTGTCCGAGCTTCTCCCCACCCTGCATCCATCAGGAACAAAGAGGAGCAGCAATTCCTTTGGCAGTGCCCCTGCCTGGCACCACGGGGACCCCAGAACTTGTCCCAGCACATCCTGTGCAGCTGGAGGCGTCTGGAGAACCCGGAGCTCCGGGAGAACAGGGTGGGATCAGTGATCCTGATGGGATTCTCCTCCAGCTCAGGGAGTGCTGGTGAGGGAAGGAGAAGGAAATGTTCTTACAGGGGGCTGCTCTTCTCCTCGTCTGAGTCGGAGTTGTGGTGCTGGATCCAGCTCTTGTCCCCCCGCAGGGTGGTGCGAACCTTCATCTGCCGGATGATCCTGCGGCGATCCTCGTCCGAGGGCGGGATCAGCCCTCCTGGGGGAACAGGAGAGGGAGGGAAGGACTCCCAGCGTCCTTGGAAAGATGGGATCCATCCCTCTCTGTCAGATCCCAGCGCTGGGTGACGCTTCCAGCGGCTCCGATGGAAGCTGGAGACCATCCAGAGCTCGGGATCTGCATCCTGCTGGATCACAGGGTCACGCAGAGCTCCCACGCCTGTCCCAGCAGGGACACCCCAGCAGCTCCAGCTGGCCAGAGGAGACTGAGGAAAACCAGTAGAGGAAGGAATTACCTTTGGCAACACCCAGGGACATCATGGTCTCGGCAGCACCTTCCCCTGCAGCCAAAAAGCCCCTGGAAGAAATGGAAAAGGGAATAAGCAAAACATCAGTTGTGCCATGAAAGCAATTCCAGGCAATTTAATATGGAAAAGGGAGCTGGAGCCTTGTTTGGATGTCAATGTCCCGGGGCTCTGGGGCAGAGCCCAGCCCAGCACGCTCCGTGGGGTCCCTGCCTCAGCTCTTTCCGTGCCCTGGAGTCTGAAAGTGGCTCCAGCACCACAAACTCCTCTCCCATCCCTGGCAGGGAGCGATCCCATGGATCACAGTTGATCCCGTGGATCACAGCTGGACGAGGGAACACCTCCAGCTGCACCCAAGGCCGTGGCCCTGAGGGGGTGACCTGTCCCTGCCCACCCATCCCTTCCCCAAGGGGTGCAGGCACAGCCACACCAACTCCTCCCCCAGAAATTCTTCCAGTGCCTGAAATCAGCAGCCCCTCAGTCGGGAAGGATCCTGCTTTCCATGGAAAGCACTCACCCAGCTCTGATTACCCCACAGGACATGAAACACTTGCTGTTCTTCCCAAGTCGATGGCAGCTCCCCTTCCCTGCCAGCCACCCTCCTCTCTGAAGGCTCAGCTGGGATTTGGGGGTGTTAATAGCAAGTTTCCAGCGTTTGTAGGACACTCGGGGTTAAAGCCCCTTCGTGCCTCGCAGCACCTCGCTCTCCTTGTGCTTCGGGACGAGCTGGATCCCAGCCCTGAGGACTCAAAGGAATGCCCTGGGAGGAGGCAGAGCCGCTCAGATCCCATAAATCCACCTTTCCTGGGAGCACCACAGGTGCCTTTAGACTCCTGAGCTGTCCATGCAGCCACTGAGAACAGGTCCCAGGTCCCTGGGGTGGGATGTCCCAAGCTCCACACTCACTTTTCCACGCTGATCCCTGTCTCAGCTGGACCCTTTTGGGATGGGAACCCCCAGGTCCCGCTGCTGCCTTCCCTGTCCGTGCAAGGCCTTGGTGGCACTGGATGACCTTGAAGGTCCCTTCCAGCCTTGATGGCTCTGGGATTCCTGGATGAGGAATTCCTCACACAAAGGGCACCCACAGACACCAAGCTGGGCCCTCACCAGGGTCATTTCCCTCAGCCCAAAGCCCACGTGGCATCGCTTGTGTGCCCAGCTCCGACGTGATCCAGGTCCTGTGGTGATCCGGGTCCCACCCGAGGTGATCCAGCAGCGGCTCCAGGCTCTGCTCCCCCAGCTGAGCCCACCCTGGAGCCCCCAAGGATCTGTGCCGTGCTCCCCTGCCCCAGGCACCAGCACAGAGCTCCTCTCCCCCGGGAGCTGGGCACCAAGGGAGGCTCAGCCCGTGACCCGAAGGCCCGCGGCTGCAAACAGCACCCAGGGCAGTCACGCGGAAAAATCTCCTGCTTTGAGGGTAATTGATGCCTGCTCTGACCTTCACCAGCCTCCAATTAAAATGTATTTAAAGCTTGCAAAAGGTTTGAAGCTCCTTCCTGTGAGCCTCCTCAACCTGCTGGGATTTTGGCCTCCAGGCCTCTCTTCCGCTTGTGGAAGGTGGGAATCAGCAGGTCCAGCCCGGATTTTGGAAGCCCACGGGCAGGAGAGCAGGGGGAGAAGGCTTCTCCTTCTTCCTTCGGCAGATCCAGAGCCAGCACTGCCTCCTGGGAGGGCACAGCCTCGAATTGCTCTGCACCAGCCATGGCACACAATGCAAACCTTGTCCTGCTGTGCCCTGGTGACACCTGACACCTGATCTGCTGGGAAGGGACAGCGCCGAGCTGGAAGGAACCCTGCCAGATCCACGTTAACCTCGCCAGATTCACGTTAACACTGCCAGATCCACGTTAACCCCACCAGATCCACGTTAAATCCCGCCAGATCCACGTTAAATCCCGCCAGATCCACGTTAAATCCCGCCAGATCCACGTTAAACCCCGCCAGATCCACGTTAAACCCCGCCAGATCCACGTTAACCCTGCCAGATCCACGTTAAATCCCGCCAGATCCACGTTAACCCTGCCAGATCCACCTTAAATCCCACCAGATCCACGTTAAATCCCACCAGATCCACGTTAAACCCCGCCAGATCCACGTTAACCCCGCCAGATCCACGTTAACCCCGCCAGATCCACGTTAAACCCCGCCAGATCCACGTTAAACCCCGCCAGATCCACGTTAAATCCCGCCAGATCCACCTTAACCCTGCCAGATCCACGTTAACCCTGCCAGATCCACATCAAACCCCGCCAGATCCACATCAAACCCCACCAGATCCACATCAAACCCCACCAGATTGATGTTCCAGGATGGGAACTCCTCTCCCTGCACTTGGGGGAAAAGCTGGAATTCCACCTCAGGCTCCAGGCTGGGAACTCACAAACTGCACCTGAGGATCTCATCCCACCTCCCGCACCCAGGGGCTCCGTGTTTGGAGGGGAAGGTTCTGAGGGAACCTCTGAAAGTCCAGACCCAGCCCTGGCACAGGTGCCCAGAGCAGCTGGGGCTGCCCCTGGATCCCTGGCAGTGCCCAAGGCCAGGCTGGATGGGGTTTGGAGCAGCCTGGGACAGTGGGAGGTGTCCCTGCCATGGCTGGGGTGGCTCTGGATGTGCTTTAAGGCTCTCCCAACCCAAACCAGTCTGGGTTTCCATGATTTTAGACAACCTCAGCTGCTCTGAGGTACCAGTTTTTTATTCCTGCCTTTCCTTTTTCCATGCAGGGACTGTTTAACGCCGATGCTGTTCCATAAACACTGGGGATATTTAAGAAGCACCAGGAGATTTCTAAAGTCAAGCTATGAACAATCAGGAATTCAATAATTGAAACAGTCCAGGCAACCTTAAATCAAACCTTGAATCAAACCTTGAATCAAACCTTGAATCAAACCTTAGAATCAAACCTTGAATCTTCTGGCCTTGTGCAACACAACAGCTCATGCCTGCCTGGTCCGTGAGCCAGAAGCACTCACAATCCCAGAATCCCTGAGGCTGGAAAAGTGCTCTGGGATCATCAAATTCCAGCAGTGTCCAATCCCCACCTTGTCCCCATCCCAGAGCTCTGAGTGCCACCTCCAGGGATGGGGATTCCATCCCTCCCTGGGCAGCCCCTGCCATGGGGAAATTCCTGTCCATCCTGAAGCTCTGTCCTGACCCCACCGGAGGCAGCAGCAGGAGCTCTGAGGAGCCTCATCCCAGCACCACATTCCCTTGGGATCTCCCCTCCATCACCTCAGGACAGTGGAGGTCTCTTTTTCCCTCACCCAGGGATGAAAACCTGGAGTGGGGAATCCTGCCCAGACCTCACCAACGGGAGCAACACAGACACCTTCCAAACAAAGCTGAAAATGCACAATCAGAATTTCCTTTCCTTCACTCACAGCCACGCATCCCACCAAAAAACAAATAAAAAAATTGAAAGAATCCAATTCAAAGAAGCCAGGAAAGCGTGGCACAAACTCCCTGAGAGCAGCAGCCAGCCCTGCCCATCCCCAGGGATCATCCCAGAGCTCCCAGCAGGATCACCCCCAGCACAAAACCTCACCCCTGCCAACAATTCCCTGCTCATTTTCGCCATCCTGGGCGCGCAGTTGCATTGCTCTAATTACATGGAATTAATTCCTAATTGCTCAGCTAATTTCTGGGTTTGAAAGGAAGGATGTGCAGGACGTTCACCACACCCACACACCGCTGACCTTGAGCCTTGATGTCCGGAGATGAAAGGAAAAAGGAAGGAAAAATGGGTTTTGTGTCTAAGGTGGAGCTTTGTGTTCGTGCCACTGACCCACAGACAGAGCAGGACAAAAGCTCCTTGAAGCCTCATCACGTCACAGACACAACACAAGGTTTTGCCAAGAAAACACAAATTTTTTTGGTAAAAAAATGCCAAAATCTGCCACTCGTGGAAATTGGGGCTTCCATTTAAGCCCTGGTAACTTTCTTTGGGAAGAAATACACTGGATGGCTGGCTGGATGAATAAAATAAGCCGAGTTTCTAATAAAACAAATAAAACATCCCAAACAAAAGCTCCTGGTGAGGCTGGGGGGCAAGGACATCCCTGCTCCCCAACCTGCCCGGGTGAGCCCAGCTCATCCCCCGGCCTGGGCTCTGTCCTGGAGCAGGGGCTGGGACAGGGAATGACATTCCCGGGATGAAGCAAGGACACAGGGAGGTGCTCTCTCCTCTGTGCCAGCTCTGCCACTCCTTCGCAGGGTGCTGATTTCACAGCGATTCAGGGAGAAACAAAACAAGGCAGAGCAGCAGAGAGGGAGAAATCTCTGCGTCCCACAGGAGGGAGGGAGGGAGGGGCTGGAGAGGCAGAAAGAGCCGGAGCTGCCCCAAAACTCTCTCCAGAGGCTGTCAGGGGGCACAGGCTGGGATTTTCCCGGCTCTCTGCCCACACCCACCCCTGTCCCAGGCAGGTGACACTGCCGTGCCCCCCGAACCCGGCCGGGAAAGGCTTTTGGGAGGATGCAGAGAGGGGAGCTGAGCCCAGACAGGTGCGACAGAGCCCCAGAGCCGAACCCCAGCCGAGTTCTGCGGGGAGCCCATCCCTGCAGAGCTCACAGCCCCGCTTGGAGCCCCCAGCAACGGGGGGATTCATGGCGTGTCCCCCACAGGACAGCACAGCCCTGCTCTTCCTCAGCCTCCTCTTCCTCACCCTCCTCTTCGTCACCCTCCTCTTCCTCACCCTCCTCTTCCTCAGCCTCCTCTTCCTCAGCCTCCTGGCAGGTGAAACAAGAGGATTTATGGCGTGTCCCCCACAGTACAGCACAGCCCTCCTCCTCTTCCTCAGCCTCCTCCTCCTCCTCTTCCTCACCCTCCTCCTCCTCCTCTTCCTCAGCCCTTCTCCTCTTCCTCAGCCTCCTCTTCCTCACCCTCCTGGCAGGTGAAGAAGGATTTTTGGCGTGTCCCCTACAGGGATGCGCAGCCTTCCTGCTCCTCACCCTCCTCTTCCTCAGCCCCCCCGGCAGGTGAAACAAGAAGATTCATGGCGTGTCCTTCACAGGACAGCGCAGCCCTCCTCTTCCTCACCCTCCTGCTCCTCATCCTCCCGGCAGGTGAGGAAGGAGGATTTTTGGCGTGTCCCGCACAGGACAGCGCAGCCCTCCTCCTCTTCCTCCTCCTCCTGCTCCTCCTCCTCGCCCTCCCGGCAGGTGAAGGGGGGGTCCCGGCCGTACCTGCGCGTTTCCCCAGCTGCGGCTCCCGACGTGGATCTGTCCGGCCAGCGGCTGTGACACACCTGAGCC